ATGTGCCATGAAACACTAGCAGGTGGCACATGATTACGTCACATACATTTGGTATCTTCTGAGAAATAACAGTCTCAGCCAAACTAAAGCAAAGTTTATTTTTCATCTTTACCTTTTCATCCAGTTGAAAACCTCCTTCAGATTAGCCCACCATATACTTTCATAAGGAAGGGAAAAGATTTGTTGGTAGACACTTAACTAATAAGGTGAGTTGGTCAAAGTGGTCAGTCCTGAAAAAGGGCCTTATGCAAAGTTACTACATGTACAAAAAAATTTTACATGCACTCACATATGCTTATTATGTATTTACTAGCTAAAACATAATCTCGTGTAAGTCTTGCCAATAAGATTTTATAAAGAAAAAACATTTCATTCTTGTCCACAGATTGTAGAAAAAGCTTTGATGTGCAATATATGTGCTACACAGATTAGGGACTTTTACTTCTGCTATTAGATCCTAACTTTTGTATCCATCACACACACAGGGCCAGATTTCAAGACTATGGGAACATCCATAAACAACAGAGATTTCAGACTTTTCACTTTAAACAATTAGTATTTGAAGACCTATTGTATTCCTTAGGGTGGGATGTTCATGTCTTTTTCTGTGGTCCTGCACATCAGAATAAAATAGAATTACTTTTCTGCTAATCCCAAAATGCAATTGATTTCTTAATAAATGGCTCATGAAACTGATTCAAATTTTTATAATGAGCACTAGTATAATCTTAATAATATGGAAAGTTTCCAATACCATTATAACTTAAGAGAGCTATACTTTTTCATTATACAGTTCAAAAATACTATCTGTCCTTTATTGCTGTAAATTTTGAGAAAAATCTACAAGCCACATCAATGGCTTCACAAGCACCATAAATTTATAACTGGTTCTCATAAAAGAGCTGCTGTATACATCAGCTGCTAAACCACACAATTCCATTTGCACATGGGCATCTGGGAGATGCTGCTCAATGCCACTCTCAGGGAACATCCTCCCTGTCTCCTGTGCACTGCCACAGCATTTCTACAGCTCCTGGGCCTGGCACAGGGCACAAACAGCTAGAGAGAGGCAGCAGATTTGTCCATCTCTGATTCCAAAGTAGAAAAGAAACACAATGCTGTTCTGGGAACGAGGTCTTTTGCACTGGAGAAATTCCAAACAGATATGAAATTAAAGAATATATTACATGAAGTGTGAGATTTGACTGGTTTCACTAGCATAATCCTGAAATACAAAGTATACAAAAGTAGAATGACTTTCCACATAAGAAACTGAAGGATGAATTTTGTAACTGACATGGTCCTGCAGAACTCTATTCATCCTCATCCTGGCATAGGTGTACACCTGAATCACGCACTTGCAGGGAACCAAAGTCAAACAGCACAAGGGCTTAAGGGATTAAATATTTATTCTGGATATTGGCATTATTCCCGACACAGTCACCAGCTCAATTCACCCATTAACATCTCAGTTTTATCATAAAACTGGCAATAGTCAGTGCTCAACTATGGGCAGCACAAAGCCCAGCTCTCACCTTTTTTTTTTCCTTTTTTTTTCCCAGTGAAGAGCCCCAGATCTGCCACAAAGAAGACTGCATTTCTACCTGATGTTCCCCATTTCTAGTAAAATGATAATTGAAAAATATGACCCTTTCATCCTACTCCTAAAATTTTTCAGATGTAAAATGTGGTACTTCCTCTAGAAATCCAATTCTTCAGAAGTACCAGTTTAATAAATAATGTCAAATCTGAAGTAGGCTGGGTGAGTCTCACTGTTACAAACATCAACAGAGCACTTCATTCCCATTTTATCTACTCTGGCCCCAAAGGATGTCTAACACAAGGCCATCACCAAGCTCACTGATCTATTTTGCTGCTTATTGTTAAGCTGATGGGGAGGCATGGCAGGAACACACATGGCAGGAACACACATGGCAGGAACACACATGCTCCACCTCCTGCTTCATAGCTCTGGGAAGCTTTGAGGTAGGACAAGGAGCCAGACCACAGAAGCAGCTGCTTCCCAGCGGAACAATTCCAACATGGATACTCTTTCCCAGAAAGGAAAGGGAGTGGAGAAGGGCAAAAAGTCAGAAGGGAATTTCCCCAGCACTGGAATTTTCTCTCCATGAAGAAGAATCCAAGTACAGAGCCTACAGGCACAACTCACAGGATCTTGCAGGTTTGCTTTATATAAATAGCAACCATCTTTTTAACATTTAATGACAATCTAACATTATATAAAAACTAGATATCTTTCAGGTTTTATGGGAGTTTCTTGTTTGCAAATTGATCTTCCATAGAGTCTTGCTGAATTGTGATTCCCATTATCTTAAACAAACATTAGAAAAATCATTGCATCTATAAATTATTGCATTTTCTTGGTATCTCGATCAACCATTCTTTAAGGCATTTTATTAATTTTTTCAGATGGGCAAACAACACAAGCCCTTTGAAATTTGTGCTTCTATATAAATAAGCTTGTAGATACTTAAATAACACAGTCATAAATTTATTTTCTCTTACGTTGCATGTGTCATGAACACTTGCCTACATGAACAACAAGAATGCCAAAAAATCTCCCAAGTCTGGCCAGAAGTGCAGTATTTATACTTGAATTAAAATGAATTCCATGTGCAAGCTAAAGTAGCACTCCATCAATAAAACATTTCAACCACTGTCTGTGGTATGGCACTGAGGCATCTCTTTTCAGCTTTATCTGACACTAGGGAGTTCTTGCTTTATGCAGCTAAGAATGAACATGGAACTATTTTCACAGAACTATTTTATCTTCAAATACTTATTTTAATTTATATCTGACTTAAAGAACTATTGGAAGACTCAGGTGTGCATGAATATGTAAAGAAGTATATATTTGAATTTTTCACAACAACACTTTTTTGTATTATTGAAGTTTATAATATAAACTTCTTAATGAGTACTCACTGTCTGATCAAAAATGCTGCCCTGCCATTTCCTAGTTCTAAACCATTATATAATTTTGTTTGCTGACAGCTGGAACAAAATAAAGTCAATTTCTAAAACAGAGGTGCCTGAAGAATATACTTTCCTATTTGTCATTCTCACTCTTCTTTCAGAATGGCTTTATGCAAATGTTGATATGAATTTCAATACTAATTTAAGTTCAGTACTATAATCTATACACAACTATATGAAGGATTTAAAGACAAAAGGGAGTTTGAGAATTAAGTAATCAGGAGAGAAAAGCCTTGCCTGTAAAGAGGGTGGTACATAAGTGGGCCAATTAAAAGATAAGTGGGAATTCATCAACAGTAATGAATTTCAAGTATCTTCTCCAGAAGGATCTTGGGTCTTTACTAAAAAGTAACATGGTTGTTTCTCTGAGCTCTCAGAAAAGTACAGAGTTGCTTCATAACACAGAGAGAAGCAAGCTATTAGCAAAATGAAAGGTTTGAAAACATCCTGTTGAACTGTAATTACACGTGAGCAGGAAGAATTCTACAATGCAAAATGTGTACATGCTGTGTTCAGCATTAGGAATAGCTGAGCAAGTCACATGCTCAAAGTTACATTTGCAAAGGATTATTTTGCCATAGCCAAAATGACAAAAATACAGAGGTCCAACCTAGAAAAGATAAATGTAGACAGGCTTGTATTATCCATGTTTGTCTGTCTCTTTGCCAGGTCCACTAGCAAGGCCCCACAGACATGGACTGAAAACAAGTGTGAGTACTCTGAATACATTTTAAAAGACTGAGTTACTCTTCTACAATACTTAAAAGGATTGTGAGGAGCCAAAACTTTGCTTATTCCTCACAAGTAATTAATTGTAGAATCTTAACAATCATAAAGGTTGGAAAAGATCTTCAGGATCTTCAAGTCCAACCTTTGACTGAGCACTGCCACGTCAACTAAACCACAGTACCAAGGGCCACATCCAGTCATTCCTTGAACACTTCCCCAGATGGTGACTCCACTGTTGTGGTAACTTCCCTGGGCAGCCCGTTCCAATGCTTAACCAACCTTTCAGTGAAAAATTCTTCCTGATGTCCAGCCTGAACCTCCCCTGGCACATCCTGAGGCCATGTCCTCTTGTCCCATCTCAAGTTGCCTGGGAGAAGAGGCTGACCCCCACCTGGCTACAACCTCCTTTCATCCAGCTGGAAGGAGTGATATGATCACCCCTGAGCCTCCTTCTCTCCAGGCTAAACAAGCCCAGCTCCCTCAGCTGCTCCTCATATGACTTGCTCTTTCTGCTGCACCAAAAGCCAACACCATCATTTTATCTGTCGGATGTGTATTCTCTGTAGTTGCACTCAAAAAAATAAATAAGCCAGCGCTTTTATTAGCAACTTAACAGAACATAAATTCCAGTACGAACTTGTAAAGGAACTTCTCCTGAGGGAAAAACATAATTAGAATTTTCCAGAATAGCACAGGGTTGTTGGAGTTTTTGATCTGTTTCAGACTTATTCAGAATTCTATCTATATTTATAGGTTCCAAAAGATTTTCAACAAGTCTGTGTAAAAACGTTTTCTTGGTTTGTTTTAGAAGATGCCTGTTTATCACACATTTTCCTGTCCACTAAAGCATCTATCCAGACACAAGACCATGTTAGAATTATTTCAGACATGCATTAATCACAGTTGATGAAAGACACTAGGCAACTATTCAGTTTTAATAAAAACTCTTGAAAGTTATTATCCACATAAAGAAATCTTTTGGAAAGTTTCATACAAAAATCAAAACAGAAACCCAATAATTAATAAAGAGATTATGCCATCTTACATTTTAAATAACACTGAACAGATGGTTTAATCTAAAGGGCTATATAAGCCAAAAATAGCAGATTAAAAAGAAAGTGCGTGATAGGAAAGTCCACAGTTCCAAGATTTGAAAATACTACACCGCAGGGCTATACTAAAGTATAATGAAAGAGGAAAGGATAAGGAACTGGTCTGGTCTCCTCAAATGTAACTTTTTAACTTTGTTATACAATTTATCAATGCTTACTTACTTTTACATATTTTGCAAGTTTTTGAATTCCCCAGTATTCTGCTGACAAATCAGTGCTTCCTTCCTGACGACGTATAGGCTGTTCATCTTCATCAGCCTCTGAGGAACTTTCACTAACATCTTCAAGGCTGCTTGATGCTTTACTAAAAATAAATAAACAGAATCAACAATTTCAAATGGCTATAGACTATAATATGGACAAGCATATTTCAAACAGGTATGACAACACTGCCTAATAACTAAAAAAATACAACTAACATTACCAGTTGGTAAGTATAGTAATAATTACTGCAGATAGGGAAATAAAAATTTAAAAAATTGAGGAAGGAAAAATAAGTCACCCATACCATTTTGAATTTTCTTGAATTTTAACCGTTTTAGATTTGCCACTGGCTTTCTTTTTTGTATTCAGAGGTACAGTTCTACTTTTCCTTTCTTCTTCAGAGTCTTTTTTTGGAGCCTTGTCACTGGATCGGGGTTTATTTAAAAAAAAAAAAGAACACAGAAATTATTTTTTGCAGTATGTTCTTCAGCATACTGTGATTCAGAGAACTCCTGATTGTCCATGCATTAACAGTTCTGAATGGATGAAGAGTTCCATAAATGTCACTGGTTGTTTCTTGAACTCACATAAACAAATGAATTTACTGTATTTTGGCAAAGAATGTGAGTGCTTAGCTATGTGGCATATGAAGACATCTCTCCCTTTGTTCTGGACTGATCTCACTGGCTCATTTTCATTTGATACCCTAATTTTTATCCTAGAACAGACAGTGACTATCTGTTTCCTATTTACCATTCCTGGACATGAGTTTCTGTATCTTTCTTCTTCTCCTCTAGTCATCTTATTTCCAGGCAGTTTTGTCTGCCTAGTTCTTCCACATACTTATATGCTCCATAGCTTTGATCATGCTGAATACAACATATAGCACTTTCCTCATATTCCAAAAAACACCTAGTTCTAATTGGCCACAATCTCTGGTGCTTTTTTTTGTCCCAAAATGACAATGTTGTGAAAGCAAAATGTCTTTTTGAGCCTGAGCCGGTCACTCTATCACAGTCACAAGAAAAAAAAAACCAGAGTATTACTTATGATTGCAGTCAATTTCACTACATCAAGACTTCATCAATAACTGTGGAAAAAGGTTAGCTCTTGCTCTGGAAAGCCAATTTCTTTCTAACCATAAGTCACATCCCAAATCTCTTAAAATATTTCTTGCAACTTATTAAATTGGTAGATTTGAGAAAGATACTATATTTTGTAGGATGACATCGAAAGGCTTTTCTGCAGATATTCTTCTTCTTCCACTTACATAAAATCAGGAAACATGAAATCAAAACAGAGTACTGATTTCAGAAGACAAATCCAACAACATACAATATATGCACACTCTATTTTGGGGGTTCAAACTTTGAGATAATCTCATCAGTGAATATCACTGCTAAGCAGAGCTAGAGAAGTAGCTCATGTAATGTGAAGTCAAGTGGCAGTAATAAGAGTCATTCTGATTTTCCACTCAGGACCTCTTTCACCTCACTCAGAAAGTGTGGTTTAGATCAGGTTTTCTAATCAGTCTTGCTTTAAAAGGCATTTTACACCAAAAACATGATGGTGTCACAGTCCTAGAGAACCAGTACTGCAGATGATTGCAAGTTCCTTCCCTGCCTTGCTGTGGAAATATGGTAACAACATCGAAGATGTCACATGACAGAAAAAACCTGAGAATTCTCTTTGGTAGCCTAAACTCTCTCCTTAGAAATTAACATGTAGTAAGCTTTGTTTTATTCCTCCTAAGTTAAGATAATAATGGAAATCTGTAACACACAGCCCTATCATTAGCACAGTTTAGATAGATCTATAGGCAAATTCAATTTTAAAGAAAATTACTTATCTTTGGGAAGCAGAAAGCCCACTGCTCTTCCACTTCATATATGGTTTTAACCTATGGCCAGTGGGTCCTGCTGAGGAACTTTTCCCTTTCTCACATTCAGTCTTTTCTGTAAGATCATGAAGGCTCTTTGATTGGCCAGAAATCTCAGCACCTTCCACATGCTGATTATTCTTCTCATGTGCTGGTTCTTTAGAAAAACTATATTCCTAATAAAAAGAGACATGGTTTGCCACTCATATCGCTATGTGAATAATGAATACTAAAACAGTAAGTTATAAGCAAAATTCTAGGACTCTGTGCTTAAAATTGCATGCATTAAGCGTAGAATAAGATTCTAAGCACAAAATTATATTGTCTTTAAAAGAAGAAAATATTAACTTGAAAAGTAGCAGTTATCATGTGCAAGTTGAAGTTTTTTAAGTAAATCAAGTTGATAAATTTGGAATTTCAGGAACATTCTTGAATATTTGGTGTTTGATTTTTATATGTCAAAAATCTGTGACACAAGCACTTTTACAGAACCTACATCCAAATGAGTTTTAAGATTTAGACATGCAAAGTCAGCCTTCTGCTTTCAATGGATCATTTACATAAACACCATTTCCCTGCATAATGGATTTACAAAAAATTCCCACAAAAAAAGTAATGAACATAAATCTGAAAATAGACTATCATAAACTGCTAGACTTCAGTTCCAAGTAATTTAATTTGATATAGTTTAGAATTAATATAAACACATGCCATTTAATTTTTTTCATCTTCTGTCTCTCAGGACAAAACACTGTTGAACAAGTCACATACAAGAATGGAGCTGAGTGGCACCTACCAATCCTTCAGCTGTCAGTGTCTAGTACCATGGCTAATCAATAGGATACAGAACAGAAAGGACTCTTGTCAACTCTTATTCTCTATTGGAACACACTCAATTTTTACAGGAAAGTCAACATATGATCGTTACTTATTATTATTATTATTGTTATTGCAGCTGTCAGTGCCAGATAGGTGAAGACATTCCTTTGTGTGCCTGATTCAAGGCAGTTTTAAGGAGACTGTCACAGCAGGGTCTGTTTTCCCCTGGTCCCTGATGAGAATTGGCTGTTGAAGCCTTGCCAACTCAAGTGTCTAATTCCAAACTAACTCATGCTAATGCTCTCATTTTGAAAATGTACTCTAGACAAGACAATTTAGCACATGATAAACTAGATAAATCACAGGGGAGTTGGTGCTGTAGCTTGATCAGTTAGGCATACTTTTAAAAGTGTGTTTGCTACAGCACTATATGCCAACACAGCAATTCTGAATGTTAGCTTAAACAAGGCCAGGCAGATATTATAAAAGTTAATTGGTTTTGCAATATATTTGTATGTAATGAGCTTTTTGAAGCTCTCCTCTCCTCAGAATATAAATCAAAACTATCTCCACTCATATTTTACTTCATTTAGTCAAACTTGGAAATACAGTTTTTCTCTGCATTTCATAGTTCTAGAGCAGAGAAGATTTTCCCTCAGGTAGAAATGCTCTGCAGCTCCAGGATATTAACTTGTTTAAATTCCAGTCGTAGAAAGCAGAATGTACTACACCAGCTCTTTAGCAATGCAAGATGATATGAAATTCCAAAACCATTAAAAAGGTATAATGTATACTCTTCTGCATAAACTTATTTACACAGTCATGGAATGATGGGTGTGTGATTTACATTAAAATTGAATTTACATTGAATTTTATTAAAATAAAATTTTAAAATTAAAAAAACACGGTAAGTTCTGTTTATTTGCTCTAATTTAATGTGTGACTTATTAAGTGTAACTTAAAAAGCTACAATATATTCATAAGGGCAGAAAACTAGTAAATAAAGGCATGTTATCATCAATAGCAACATTATTCTATATTAACATTTAGGATTAGATCTGAAAAAATAGTAAAATGCTACCATATTTTACCTTTCATGATCATCAAATGAAGACAAATCACTGCAAATAAATTAAGCCAATGTCTAAAAACATTCATATGTTGTCCTATTTATGAAGTGTAAACCAGTATGTAGGCATAACATTAAAAAAATACTTGCCAATGAGATAAATAAAGAATTTGGAACTTAATACATTTTCAAACAGAACAACTCACAATTCTAATTCCAATACTGTTAATATGAGCTACTGTATATATGTGTATGACTTGGAATGCTCTGTTCTTTCAAAACTTTCAAATATCTGTATCTCAAAAAAATAAGTATCAGCCCTACATCCCAGAAAATCAGCACTAGAGAATAAGGAAATTTCGCTGTTAATTACTTCCTTCTTGCAATAATTAAAATTGCATATAAATAACCACAATGAAACTCCTGACAGGTTTTGGCCTGTGAGGAATTTTACCTCCAATTAATCTCCTAAAACCACACTAGAAATCTAAAAAAAAATTAGTTTTATCAGGAACACGGAAAAAACTAAAATTGTACTGGTACTATGTGATTCTAACTAGTATGGAGCTCTAAATAAAAACCAAAACACTTGCATTTTGCAGTCCCTGAATCAAGATACAATGTGTAAACTCGACACTTAACTCTCAGCTCTGATATTTAAATCAGGCAGTTCTCATAAGAAAGTTGGATAATAATTTATGTTTGGGTTACAAAGAATGAAAATAAAAATTTCAGTGGTTTTCTTCACAGAAAAATACTGTAATAAAAAGTTGACCTTTTCCATACAGATATCACATTTTCCTGCTTTAACATTTCCACTGCTCCATAAAGAACAAGACCAGAAGACAGACAAAACATTTCATGCAAAACTAGAAGCTGACCTCACATGTTGGATCAAACCCCATCAAAAACTATGACAGAGCAACACATGAAATGGTGCACTACTTGCTATTTACAAAAAAAAAAAAATATTTAAAACTGAAACAAATAACAACTTAAAAAAGCACTCCAGTCTTTAAAATTCTTCATTTAATCATAGATTTATCTTTGATAAAGAACAAAAATGTTCAGCCAGGTTTACAATGTAATTCTTACCAATGTACATTTGCACAAAGAAGTATACCAAGAATCAATAAATACATACCTGTTTAGCCATATTTTCTACAAATCTAGGTGATCTCCCCCTTAAAAATGTGACTATGTCTTTATATAGATCACTTTTTCTTTCATAGTCAATATCTTTACCCTTTGGCTGACCCTTAAAAAAAAGAATACATTTAAAATTGTTAATAGTTATGCCTTACACAGGTAATTTAATTTGCATCATAAAATAGTGCAAAAGAGCACCAAGGTCATATTGTAATGAATTAAGATAAAGGAGTCTCATGCTCAGCAAAGTTGACCAAACTTCAAAAATGCTTCTTAAAGACGCATGGATCATCTCCATGGACCCCAACAGATGATCAAGATCTTACACAGGATTTTGCAGGCAATAGCCATCAGTTAATTGTACCCTGTGTAGTTCCACTGAAAAGAATTTATGGTTTATGGGAAACAATCAAGTAAATATGAGCTTTGAGTGCAGGATGGCAGATGTCTAAAAGGCACAGAAAATAACGTGACCTGGCTGCCTGAGCTTTATGAGCTTCATCTATTAAAAAATGTGCCAAGTCAAAATTTCCCTGGCTTTTTAAACTCTTAGGAAATAAATCTGTGGAGTTACGCCTGACGGACACCAGTCTCTCTTCAAAAGAAATGTAAGAGCTCTGGTCACTACTTCACACATGTAAGGATAAACCCATCCAAGAGGAAGAAGGGAGCCAAAATGAAAAGAAGGAGAAAGGAGAGCAGTAATTTCTAAAAAGCTTCTTCTGAAAGAAGAAGGAAGTGCTTATCATTTATAAAAAGACCAAAGCACACTCTACCAGCCCCAAAGTAACACAGCGCCTCAGATCAAGAGCAACGAGGCACTAGAGAGGCACCACAAAGGTACCCACAGGACCTTTAATCAGGAACAGTGTGAAGAACTGTTATTTAAAGACTAATCAAGCAGTGCTAGCAGTAACCCAGCTCTCAAATGGTCAAATATGCTGCGGCTGCTGTGATTTGAAATAAACCGATCTAGGAACGAATACATTCTTTATACTCATTTAAATCCCTGAAGAATGAAGGGGACTTGATGAAGATAACTTGCAAATTTTAAAGAAATGGGGAAATCAGGTGCAAACACTGATTATTTAATCTTAATTCCCGCTTCTATTACAAATTATGGCAGCGGACAGCAGGAGGCCTCTGTTGAGGCTGTACCAAAAGGATCCTCCTGGTAAAAGCCCCCTGTGCAGGCGGACAGACGCGGCCCCCATGGCCCCCGAGGCTGTAGCAAAAGGATCCTCCTGGTAAAAGCCCCCTGTGCAGGCGGACAGACGCGGCCCCCATGGCCCCCGAGGCTGTAGCAAAAGGATCCTCCTGGTAAAAGCCCCCTGTGCAGGCGGACCCGGCCCCCAGCCCCTCAGCGATCTCCCCGAATGGCAGACACAGGGGAGCAGCCCCGCCCGCCCAGCCCGGGGAGGCCGAGAGCCGCCCGCCGGAGCGGCTTCGGCCGTGTGGGGAGCGTGGGGCAGGGTCTGGGGTGGGAGCGGGAGGGAGCCCGGAGCCGAGGGCCCGGAGCAGGGATACAGCGGAGCCCGGGGGTCGCACGCAGCCCGCCCGATGTTCGGCCCTCACCTCGCCCCGGGCCAGCCGCGCCGCGCCCCGCCATGGCCGGCGGCGTTGCCGTGGGGACGGGCCGGCGTTACCGGGACTGCGGGAACAGCCGCGGCCCCGGCCGGCATTCCTCGTCGGAAGGGAAGGGGAGCGACATTTGAACTCGTCAAGCGGGCTGTGTGCCCTCGGTGTAGGGTTAAATAATGAAGTAACTAGAGTTACCTTGCACTAGAGGTTAAAGGAAGAGCACCGAACGGTTTTTAGCTTGAATTTTAGCCAGTACAGCTTAAACCTTTCCCTGGCTGTCAGCGGTTACAGGAAAACAGCTTCAATTAATAAAGGTTAAGATTGACCACTTCTAGTTCTTGAGGCAGCGTGACAGATCATGCTTGAAACGCTTATTGTTAAAGGAAATGTAATGTATAATTAGTGTTTGTTGAAGGAAGTGAAGGAAATAGGTATGGGCAGTGCTAGTGAATAAACTCCTTTCACATACTGAGGACAACACAGTACTGTACCCGCACAAATAGACAGCCCCAAACACTGAATTTCTATTATCAGTCCATGTGTTGTTGAATGAGCCATCACTCTGGATAAATTTTTGTTACAAAGTTCCTACTGAACTCATTATGCATTGTCTCTTCTTTCACACCACTGAGCCAAAAATAATTATATTCTCTGACTTCCCTACCTCTCCAGTTCTGCTATTTGTGTCCATCAAAATCCCTATCAGATGATTAAAAATTGATTTAGATTTTACTCAGGAAGGAATGTCTACCTGCTGTACCCTGGCTGAAGTTGGGAAGCTCTGGTCAGCACTGCAGTGTGTGTCCTTATGAAGGCACAGGAAAATAATGCTTCTGAGGACAGTCCAGCAGAAGTACCCAGCTTCCAACCCCAGAGCCAACACAGCCAAGAGTTATTTTACCAACTGAGAAATCAGCCGGGTAAGAAACTTCTAATAGTGAGGAAGGTCATGGGATGTATGTGGGGTGTATCCCAAAGAATAACAGTATGGGATGAATACACCGTTTTGCATGGAGATGATTGTCCACATACATTTTATTTACCAAAACTTTCTAGCAGTAACTATGTATAAGTACATGCACTCTGCACAGTAATGGTTTAAGAATAGCATTGGCTTTTCTTGCTTTACTTGTTTAAGTTAGAGAAGATAGAAAATTACTAATTTTATTAGGTAAAACTGAAAGAGAAATTTTTTTAGTTAAAAGCCTGGTTAAAGACTTCATGCAATTTCTTTTCTGTATGGAATACTATGTATGAATGCATTTCCAGAAGGGATTAAATATCTTCTTTTTACTGAAGTAATGACTCTTTAAAAACTGATTTTGAGGGCAGAAGGTGCAAGAAACAAAATGTGAAAGGGAATAAAAGTATCCCTGCCATGGGTGGTGGGGAGTGAAGACAGGGAGTTTTCACACAGAGCTGAGTATTTTAAGCAAGAAGTCGGTGGAGTAAGAAATAGAATTCCTAAATGAGATCACTCTTTTCCACTGAACTGCAAGAAGAAAAGATATTTCAATGGCAGAGATACATGGGATGGTGTGCCCTCAAAGGCTGTGCATCCCCACTGGCCATAAAAGGAGCTTTGGTAACCAGCTCAGGTTTAGTTACCAGTGGAACTTTCTATGGGAACAGGTAAGTCAGAAATGAAAAAGCAGAGCAGATTGTGCAAGCCAGCAGTGAGGAATGCTGCTGGGATCTGGTATTCGAAGCAATGCCTATGGATGCTCAAGAGTCAGAAGTTTCCCACTTTTTTCTTTGTGGCTGGCAAATGCTGAGTTTGTAGCATAGCACATCTTCTCCTGGAAGATTGCTCTAATTCTTCTGAAGCCTAGAAACCATCTGATTTAATTTATAACCTCAATTTGTGTACTAGTTTTTGTGTATTTTTTCTTGTACAAACGTTGGTTCTTTACCTTATTCTCAACAGCTTTTCCTACTTTTCCTCCACAGATTTTACATCCATTTTCTGGGTTAGAATATTTTCTCCTAGATTTAACTTTGTTTGGCTAAACCAGTTCAGTTCCTCTAGATTCAGACTGCAAGTTCTTAATTTCTTTTGCCATCTTATATCCCTTATTGCCCTGTGTTCCCGTCTGAGCTTTTTTTATAAAATAGATTTAACACTGTTTCTAAAGATCCTTTCACCAAGTTCCATTACAATGACATTAATAGTCTTCATCTCTTTTGGAAGCTCCTCAACTACTACATTCTAGGATTACATTTGGTTTTCACATTTGGGGATTGTTGTCACCTTGTAATTGATTTAAATCAACCAATTTTTAATCCATTACTTTTATTTTCAGCTGATGAGTTTGCAGCTTTCTGCAGGATTTGAGCATATAATATTGCAGTTTGCCCTCATAAAATCAAATTACACTTTTAAACAAAAGAAATATTTATAGCATGTGGTCTCTATGTTTTGGTCCCCATCCTCTTCCCCTTTTACAAAGAAGTTTTTGAATCTAATATTAAATTTGAAACATATTTTATAGAGGGTTGTGGTCTTGAAAATAATGAATTGACATGAAAAATTTCTCTTCCTGCTTGTAGTCTCTGTGCTCTGTAGTTTTTTTTTTTTTGCATATTTTCAGACATGTATCAGCTGTAGCAAGTAATTGCTGCATTGGTATTTGTGCATTGGTATTTGAGCTCTGAGTTATTCCCTTGGTTACATTCAGGCATTTCTTGCTGGATGACAAGGAATCTTGCCTTCTTACATCAGTTATCACTGAAAAATAAGTACTTAGGTACTCCTTCATTTACCTAGCACAAGAATATAAATTGTTATCTTGGAAGAAAATTTTTGCCTGAAAGATAAAATATTAAGTAATTACTTAAAGAAATATGAAAGTACTTTCTTGGTGTCCCAAAATAAGTGTGCAAAAAATTGAAGGCAATAAAGCTGCTATGTGCTCACAAAAACAGCTCACTCAGGAGCTGCATCCACCCAGAGATGGCATTTGCACCATGTTTGGCTAATTCTGTAAACTAGTAGTAGTACATTTATGTAGGAATGGTTTTTTCTCTGTTATTTTTACATTTTGAATGTAAAAGACATTTTATAAAACAGTAGATGAGATGTTTGCCAGTAACAAAAGATGAGATCATTTCTTACTGGCACAAAGAAATGGGGAATATGAAGAATTTGTTAACATGGAGAGTAAGGCAAGTGGAAATTTTTTCTTACAATCTAAAAGTTGCAGCCAGAATGTGCAAGCAATTTTTCATGTATATTTTTCCTCACATTATTATAGAGGAGGGTGTAAATTATTCCTGTTGAAGCAGAACAGTAACACCCATTGTAAAAAAATTTGTTGAGGCTTAATGTAAAATAAAAAAGGTCAATCATACCAGCTAGTCCTCCTGTTAAATACCAATTTAGCTGATCATCTTCATGGGCAGTTTGTCACACAGGCTGAAAATCAGCAGAAAACAATGTAATATTAATCAATTTACTTTTATTGTTCATTAGCTTTCCTTTCTTGCAAAATTTACATACTTTTGGCATTCACAAAAAATCCTGAAGTTCTACGGTTTTAATGTAAAGGGTTTAACAGTGCTTTTATTTCATTTTGTGTCAGTTCAAAGGCAACATTTAGGTGCCTGGAGTTCTTAACAAGCATTTTTATGCATCTTAATTGCCGGTAATCTGTTGTTGTTTGTTGTTGTGTTTTGTTTTGGGGTTTTTTTGTGTGTTTGGGGTTTATTTAACTGGGGAGTAGTGCTTTGTGGAAAGGCAGGGCTTCAGCTCAAGAGGCGATGCACATGAGCATGCAAAATGAAGCAGAGGACGTGATGAATTGTTAATGTCTTTTCTTTAAGCAAGATTCTATGGAAAACAATGTTTAAAACCCAATCTTTAGAAAGGAAAGGACTACTGCTTTTTCACCCAGTCTCCAATTTCTGTGTTGTTCTGTGTTCCCCTACTTACATCTTGTTTACTGGGTAATTACTGCTTTAAAAAATGACAGATTATTTGCAGTGAGGATTTTTCAGGCTTGGACATTGTGTAATACACTCTCTTGGGCCTAGAAATTAAGAAACAGAAAAGGATACTTTTGAAGTGGGACTTCATGCAAGGGGCAGAGGTGTGTAAGGGTGTGCATGGGTGTCTGACAAAGAAAGAGTTACTCAAAAACCTTCAAAGAAAATACAGAAGGACAATATTTTGGTTAATGAGTGATAGATTGATTATATCTGCACTGTTATTTTCTGAACAATGACAATAACAGAGATTCTGCTGCTCTTTTTTAGAAATGGCTTCCAGATGGAATTCATGTTTTACAGTCCAAGATTGAATGTGATTAATCAGTTTCTATCAATAAAAAATAAAATATTTCAGAATGGGAACTGTGTTACTAGACTTCCCTCTATTTGTAGGTGGCCATTTTTTCCTTTTTGTTGATTTCTGTTTACTACTACCCAGAATTTTGGAAGATTTTTGACTATAATTTGAAAGAAATTATCAGTCTAGAGTAATAACTAGGTGACTGTAACTGTGTTGCAGTAATATTTGGAACACTAGGCTAGAGGACTGTGGTTCTGAAAGATGCAGCAAATTAATTAATTTGTTTTCTTTGTAGCATTGAAAAAATAAAAAAGTCAGGTTTTCAGGGGCCTTAAGATGGTGGTATGTCACTTCAGTGAAACTTAGGTTGTTTTTTCTTGGGTTTGTAATACTTCAGTAGGGAATAATTACATTCAAA